GTAGTAGTAGTAGTAGTAGTAGTAGTAGTAGTAGTAGTAGTAGTAGTTGAAGTGGTGGTGACAAGTCCATGGGGCGTTCGTGAGTCAAAGGGATGGTTGTTCCAGTGCAAGAGCAAGACATGCAGGGACGCATGCGAAGGGGACCCATGACGGAATGGTGTTATGCAACGTCGATAGTGCATCGTGCCCATAGTATGGTTGTTTTCGTGTTCGGCACATTTCCCACCATAGAAACCCGTCTCACTGCGCACCCCTCATCACCCACACACGTTGCATCAACATCATCTCTCTGTATCGCCCTCTCTCTCTCCCTCTCTTTATTTCTCGCTCTCTCTCTCTCTCTCTCTCTCTCTCTCTCCCTGTCTCGCTCTTTCTCTCCCTTTCTCTCGCTCTCTCGTTCGCTCGTCGCCCTGACCGGTGTCATAACCAGATTCCGCATTGACTGCTTCCTCCTCCCCCACTGTCGCCGTCGCTGACATCGCCATGGTCATCCTGCATCGTCCCTCTTTCCCTGGACGGCCAGCAAGAGCCCAGACGTCAAAATATTCAGATGCCGACCTATATCGTTGTGTTTTTTGTTCGGTGCATGTATGTGGTAGCCTGCTGTTATTGCGCTTCGCAGGCTGCCACTGCTCCCAGATCGTCGGTTGGTTCGCCGTGTCTGACCATTCGTCTAATTCGCTCGTCCCGCCTGCCAGTCCCAGTTGGCCCATGGCATCCCCAACATCACCGTACTCTCGGCTGTCCATTGCCCCTCCCCACCATCCATGCGTGTGCGTGTCTGTGTGTGTGTGTTTGTGCGTGCGTGTGTGCGTGTGTGCGTGTGCGTGCGCGTGTGCATGCGGGTGTGTCTGTGTATGTGGTTGCACGTGATTGTGTCTGTGTGTGGTTGTGTGTTTGTGTGTGTTTGTGTGGTTTGGTGTCTGGTGCTTGTGTGTGCATCTGGGTGTTGGAGTGGGTGTCGGTGCGAGGGTGGGGTTGGGGGTGGGGCTGGTGGGTGTGGTGGGTGTGGTGGGTGTGGTGTGTGGATATGCGTGCGTGAGTGAGTGTGTGTGTGTGGGGGCAAGCGTGTGTGCGTGCGTGCGTGTGTGTGTGTGTGTGTGGTTATAGTTATGTGTGTGTTGCGTTGTGTAGGTGTTGTGTAATGTGTCTGTGTGTGTGTGTTGTGTTGTGTATGGTGTGCGGTGTGCGTGGTGTGTTTTTGTGTGCGGTGCTGTGTGTATGGTGTGTGTTGTGTGTGTGCTGTGTGTGGCGTGCGTTGTGTGGTGTGTGGGTGTGTGGGTATGTGGTGTGTCGTGTGTGTGTGTGTGCGTGTGTGTGTGTGTGCGTGTGTGCGTGAGAGTGTGAGGGTGCCTTATAGTCGCTCCCTGCTGCCTTGTCCGCCCGTTATCCCGACTCGGTGCGTCACTTCATTTTGTTTGGTTCGCGTGGCGATTCTCTGTATATCAGCTTGCCGCGTCCCCTCCTGATTATGCTCCTCTGTCCCGCCCCCGCAGGACCACATGCGCACTGCTGGCGACGTAATGTTCGCCGACATCTTCCAGGATCGCCACGGCCGCTACACGCTTCCGCCATCGCCATAGTCGCCCTCATCTTCCTGGTCCACCTTCGCCTCCTCCACAGCATCTCCCCCTTCCCCCCATCCCCCCAACCCTCCCTATATCCACGGTCTTTCACTATCTCGTCTCAGTCATGTCTCTCCGCTTCCGCCCCCTCCTCATCTTCCGCCCCCCCCCCACCCGCCTCATCATCCTCCCCATCAGCATCATCATCAGCATCATCAGCATCATCAGTTTCAGCATCTTCATCATCATCATCATCATCATCATCATCATCAGCATCATCATCAATACCATCGTCATCATCACCCTCATCATCCGCAGCAGCTGTACCACCACCATCAACATCACAATAATAAGACTAGTAAAATTAGTCATCATCACCCCCACCAAGATTTGCAGCATCATCATCATCATCATCATCATCATCATCAGCAGCAGCAGCAGCAGCATCATCATCATCATCATCATCATCATCATCATCATCATCATCATCATCATTAGCAGCAGCATCGTCATCAGCATCAGCATCATCAGCATCATCATCATCGTCGTCACCACCACCGCCACCACCAGCATCATCAGCATCAGCCTCATCCTCAGCATCATCCTCAGCATCATCATCAGCATCATCACCACCACCATCATTCTCTTCATCCACATCATCGTATGCGGCCTCATCCTCAGCATCATCAGCAGCAGCATCACCATCATCATCAACAGCATCAGTAGCATCACCAGCATCATAAACATCAGCGACATCACCAGCATCATCACCGTCACCACCACCTTCATCATCATCAGCATCATCATCATCATCAGCAGCACCTGCTCATCATCATAATCATCATCATCATCATCATCATCATCATCATCATCATCATAATCGTCATCATCATCATCATCACCACCATAATCATCAGCACTATCATATTCAGCATCAGCATCATTTTCATCATCAGACAGGGTCATGACAGATGTTCCCCATGACATTACGAAGCGTTGATGACATTGCTTTTCTTTCAGCGATATCAATTGGATTGGAAGGTTGTTGCTTTAAATCGTAAGTTGTGGAAAAGTTACGAGCCACTGTGGCTGCATCATACTTTGGGCGCGATCGGACGGACCGCAATATTTTAGAATGTTTCGACTGATGGGGCCGATGGAGCACTGCTCTTTCATATTCGTAAACAAACACATAAACATCATCATCATCAGCATCATCATCATCTTCGTGCCACCGTGGTCATTTTCATACAAATGAGCCACGTAAGGGGTCGGAGAAGCGAATTGGGGATTCGCTTGAGAAACCCGTAGCACGGCTCGGGTGGTGCCTGGATGTTCTGCAGGACGCATGTTTGGCCTGCCTCGGCCTGTGGTGTCTCCTACCTCGTCGCTTCGATGGTGGCCGCGGCCACCACACGATCCCGATCTCGACGCCACAACGCTTGTGCCCGATCAGCAGTGACAGGATCTGCTTGCCAAGGCGGGCTCCCTCTCGGCCACCATGGCGACGGTGTAGGAAGAGCTGGCGGGAGTGACTTCCTTGCCTGAGCAGCTGGCCAGACTCGGATTTGTCGAAGGCTGGCAGCTGGCAGAGACGGCGCCGACATTGGAAGAGCTGTTGCCGCTGCTCTGGTTGCCTATTTGTCAAACGCTTGCCTAGGGACAGTACCGCAGTATACCAGAATGAGGAGGCCGAGCGGTCTTATACTACTGGGTGTGTGCCAGAGGTGAGTTTTGGCGGTGATTCGTATTCCCAACCATCCTGTGGTGTTGGGTCCTCGTTTTGAAGAGACGGCGCCCCGCGTTCCTCACCTCCTCATCCTCCCCCCCTCCCTCCTCCCATCATCATCATCATCATCATCATCATCATCATCATCATCATCATCATCATCATCATCATCATCATCATCATCATCATCATCATCATCATCATCATCATCATCATCATCATCATCATCATCATCATCATCATCATCATCATCATCATCATCATCATCATCATCATCATCATCATCATCATCATCATCACCACCACCACCATTTCGGCACACCCCTCACACGTTTCGTGGCCCCATAGGGAGCTCCACCGAAGGCCCCAGTGGCAGGGTCCGCATGCCTCCCCACCACCCATTTCGGCACACCCCTCACACGTTTCGTGGCCCCATAGGGAGCTCCACCGAAGGCCCCAGTGGCAGGGTCCGCATGCCTCCCCACCACCCATTTCGGCACACCCCTCACACGTTTCGTGGCCCCATAGGGAGCTAAGGCCCCAGTTGGTTCGCATGCCTCCCCACCACCCATTTCGGCACACCCCTCACACCCCATTTCATGTCCCCACGTGGCCCCATAGGGAGCTCCACCGAAGGCCCCAGTGGCAGGGTCCGCATGCCTCCCCACCACCATTTCGGCACACCCCTCACACGTTTCGTGGCCCCATAGGGAGCTCCACCGAAGGCCCCAGTGGCAGGCCTCCCCACCACCCAGCACACCCCTCACACGCGTCCCACCGAAGGCCCCAGTGGCAGGGTCGCATGCCTCCCCACCACCCATTTCGGCACACCCCTCACACGTTTCGTGGCCCCATAGGGAGCTCCACCGAAGGCCCCAGTGGCAGGGTCCGCATGCCTCCCCACCACCCATTTCGGCACACCCCTCACACGTTTCGTGGCCCCATAGGGAGCTCCACCGAAGGCCCCAGTGGCTGCGTTCGCATGCCTCCCCACCACCCATTTCGGCACACCCCTCACACGTTTCGTGGCCCCATAGGGAGCTCCACCGAAGGCCCCAGTGGCAGGGTCCGCATGCCTCCCCACCACCCATTTCGGCACACCCCTCACACGTTTCGTGGCCCCATAGGGAGCTCCACCGAAGGCCCCAGTGGCCTGGTTCGTATGCCTCCCCAACACCCATTTCGGCACATCCCTCACACGTTTCGTGGCCCCATGGGGATTTCCACTGAAGGCCCCAGTGACTGGGTTCGCATGCGCCCCCACACCCATTTCGGCACACCCCTCACACGTTTCGTGGCACCATAGGGAGCTCCACCGAAGGCCCCAGTGGCTGCGTTCGCATGCCGCCCCCACACCAATTTCGGCACACCCCTCACACGTTTCGTGGCCCCACAGGGAGCTCCACCGAAGGCCCCAGTGGCTGCGTTCGCATGCCGCCCCCACACCAACTTCGGTGCACCCCTCACACGTTTCGTGGCCCCATAAGGAGCTCCACCGAAGGCCCCAGTGGCAACGTTCGCATGCCGCCCCCACACCCATTTCGGCACACCCCTCAAACGGTTCGTGGCCCCATAGGGAGATCCACCGAAGACGGTACTCACACCAGCATTACTCACAACTGCATATGGTTGGGTCCTTCGCCAGGCTAATTTTTGTTCGTTGTTAGTGAGTTCGCATTTCCAAAGAGCAAGTACTGTTGATCATC